TTACCTCTCCTTTCTCTCTGCATCCTTCCTCCTCCTCCAAAAAACATATCAAAGATGTCCATGGGGGAGCCAAAACCACCACCTGCTCCACCCTCCTTAATTGCCTGTTCTCCTCCTTTGTCATATAATTCCCTTTTCTTGGCATCAGAGAGAACTTCATAAGCTTGAGAAATCTGTTTAAACTTTTCACCTTCATTTGGATTCTTATCAGGGTGGTACTTCAAGGCCAGTTTTCTGTAAGCCTTTTTTAATTCTTCCTGGGTGGCATTGGGTTTGACCCCCAAAACATCATAGTAAGTGGTTTCTTTCACCATTTTCTACAGCCGGTGAGCGGGCTGGGGCCGTTGTGAGGGAGTGGGAAGGAGCGCGTAACTGTGTGCAGCCCGGGCAGCCGCCGCTCCTCCGCCTCTCACCGAGCGTTCTGGAAAGTTCCCTTATTAAATTATTGTTGTGTGAGATTTTTCCTAGACATAAGAAAAGTGGTCCAGGGCTGGTATGGTGGCTCCAGTCTCAAGGTCACCTCCTGATCCAGCTTGATGGCAAAAGSTTTACCCACTCTATCTGCATCCACGGTCAGATGTAGAATGAAGAASGTCTGCTTTGCATACGAGTCTGACTAAAATTTCATCATGTGGSCACACCTAGCTGCAGGAAATGCTGGGCGCTATTCGTGTACAGCTGAATTCACAGAACCATGATTTTTATTTGTTGCATCTATTACTAAATGGCASGAAAAGGCATTTGTAATCTGTAATTTGTAATCTGTTATGCAAATATGTGCATAAAATCATACCAAACATAATTTTACAATGTGTTCTGTCCAATGTATTTTAGAGATCTCAACATGTTAGTACTTCTAGTTCTGCATTTCATTAGCTATTATATAGTATTATTATGGTTTTTAGAAATATAATTTGTTTAGCTATTTCTCTGAGTGATTTAAGTTATTTCCAGCTTTTCACTATTTAAAACATTACTGTGATGAGCCAGGTGGGATGGCAAATGCCTGTAATCCCAGTGATTGGGGAGGCTGAGGCAGGAGGATTGCCAAGTTCAAAGCCAGTCTCAGCAATTTAGCAAGGCCCTAAGCAACTTGGTGAGACCCTGTCTCTAATAAAATAGAAAAAAGACCTGGGGCTGTGACTTGGTGGTTAAGTGCCCTTGGGTTCAATTTCAATCCCTGGTACCAAAAACAAAACAAAATAAAACATCAAAAAGCTGATATATTTCTTGTTCACATTTGGGTGTCACAGTCCAGATCAGATACTGAGTGGTGAAATTCGTGAGTTGAAGTTGATGGACAACATCTAAAAGGTACCAGATATGGCTAAATTTGCCTCTAAACTGACAATGCCATTTCACACCCCCTTTATCAGTATATGAGAATCCTGTCTCACCAGGTTTTGCCTGTGCTTTGTTACATTAATGTGAAGTTTTGAGCACCTTATATTAGCTCCAAAGAAATTCCTGTTGAAACTAAAGAGTTTGCTACCAGGTATGGAAATGAGCTTTTAATGTAAAGCTTCAAACTTCTTGTTCTTGATGTAATTTTCTAAAATCCATTTGTTTTTTGGTACCAGGAATTGAACCCAGGGATGCTCAATCACTGAGCTACATCCCAACACCCAGGCTCTTTGTTTTCTTTCTTCCTTTTTTTTTTTTTTTTTTTTTTTTTAAATACAGGGTCCTAAGTTGCTGAGGCTGGCTTTGAACTTGTGATCTTCCTGCGTCAGCCTCCCAAACTGCTGTGTTTACAGGCATGCACCACCACACCTGCCTTAAAAGCTATTTTTTAACTGATACATAAAAACAAGTTGCATATATTAATGAGATGACATAATGGTTTTAAATAGATGTATATTTTATAATGTTTAAGTGGGTTTGAATATACCTATCTCCAAACATTTTTCTTTATGGTGAAAACCTTCAAAATCCTTCTAGATTTTTGAAATGTACAGTACACTGTTTCTCCCCCCACCCCCAATTTGGTCCTGGGGATTGAACCCAGGGGTGCTTAATCACTGAGTCACATCCCCAGCCCTTTTAAAAGTTTAGAGATGGGGTTTCACTGAGTTGCTGAGGCTGGCTTTGAACTCGTACAGTACACTAATTTTTTATGGTCACCCCAGTTTCCAACAAGACATCAGAACTTCTTTCTCCTCTTTAATTTAGTATATACTGATCAACCTTTCCCCATCCCGCCCTCCCCTCTATTCTTCCTTGACTCTGGTAACTACCATTATATTCTCCTGTGAGATCAACTGTTTTTATATTCCACGTATGTATGAGAGAGATCATGTATTTGTTTTTCTGTGCTTCACTTATATCACTTAAATCCTTAGATTTCCAGTTCCCTTCATGTTGCAAATGATAAGCTTTCCTTGTTGATGGCTGAATAGTATTCCATTGTGCATATGTACCACATTTTCTTTAATTAGGTATATATGATAGTAGAATGCATTTGATTCATTGCACACAATTGCAGCACAACTTTTCATTTCTGTGATGTAGCATCATACCATATGTGCAGTCATACATGTACCTAGGGTAATGATGACCATCTCATTCCACCATCTTTCCTGCCCCCATACTCCCTCCCAACCCCTCCCTCTCCTTTGCCCCATCAAAGTTCCTCCCATTTTCGAATGGCCTCCCCTGCCCCCACCATTATSGATCATTATCTACTTATCAGAACATTCAACCTTTGATTTTTTTTGAGGGGGGGATTGGCTTACTTTGCTTAGCATGATATTCTCCAATTCTATCCATTTACCTGCAAATGCCATGATTTATCCTCTTCTAATGCTGAGTAATATTCCGTTGTGTATATTACCACAGTTTCTTTATCCATTCATCCACTGAAGGGCACCTAGGTTGGTTCCACAGTTTAGCTATTGTGAATTAAGCTGCTGTAAAGATTGATGTGGCTGCATTACTATAGTATGCTGATTTTAAGTCCTTTGGGTATAGACTGAGGAGTGGGATAGCTGGGTCAAATGGTAGTTTCATTTCAAGTTTTCTAAGGAATCTTCATACTGTTTTCCAGATTGGTTGCACCAATTTGCAGTCCCACCAGCAATGTATGAGTGTGCCTTTTCTCCCACATCCTTGCTGACATTTACTGTCTATTCTTTAATTGCCATTCTGACTAAAGTGAGATGAAATCTTAGAGTAGTTTTGCTTTGCATTTCTCTAATTACTACAAATGTTGAATGTTTTTCATACATTCATTGTTTATCTTCTGAGAAGTGTCTGTTCAGTTCCTTAGCTCATTTATTGATTGGGTTGTTTGTTTGTTTTGGTGTTAAGTTTTTCGAGTTCTTTATATATCCTGGAGATTAGTGCTGTATCTGTGCATGTGGCAAAAACTTGCTCCCATTCTATAGGCTCTCTGTTCCCCTCACTGATTGTTTCTTTTGTTCAGAAGAAATTTTAGTTTAAATCCATCCCATTTATTGATTCTTGATTTTATTTCTTGCACTTTAGGAATCTCGTTAAGGAAGTTGGGGCCTAATCCGACGTGATGAAGATTTGGGCCTACTTTTTCCTCTATTAGGCGCAGGGTCTCTGGACTAATTCCTAGGTCTTTGATCCACTTTGAGTTGAGTTTTGTGTAGGGTGATCCACTTTGAGTTGAGTTTTGTGTAGTTTTGTGTAGGGATTTATTTTCATTTTGCTACATATGGATTTCCAGTTCTCCCAGCACCATTTGTTGAAGAGGCTATCTTTTYTYCARTGTGTTTTTGGTGCCTTTGTCTAGTATGGAATAACTGTATTTATGTGGTTTTGTCTGTTTCTTCTATTCTGTACCATTGGTCTACATGTCTATTTTGATGCCAATACCATGCCAGTTTTGTTACTATAGCTTTATAGTATAGTTTAAGGTCTGATATTGTGATGCCTCCTGCTTCACTCTTCTTGCTAAGGATTGCTTTGGCTATTCTGGGTCTCTGATTTTTCCAAATGAATTTCATGTTTTTTTTTTTCTATTTCTATAAGGACATTTTCTTTATTCCACTCATCAGTTGATGGATATTTACAAGTGTCCATACCTTGGATATTGTGAATCATGCTGCAATGAACATTGGAGTGCAGTTGTCTCTTCATATACTTATTCCATTTCTTTTGGATATATATCTAGGAGTAGGATAGCTGGACCATATGGTAGTTCTATTTTTAACTTTGAGGAGCCTCCATATGGTTTTTTATAATGGTGGCATTCATTTACATCCTCAGCACAGTGTGCACCAGCACTTGTTGTCTTTAGTCTTCTTCATAGTGGCAATTTTTACTAGAGTGTTGGTGGGGTGGGGAGATAGCTTAATGTGGTTTAGATTTGAATTTCCCTGATGATATCTAGTGTTTTTTTTTTTTTTCATATATGTATTGGCCATTTGAATGTCTTTTTTTTTTTTTTTCCCAGATGGGGATGGGTGTCGCCATGTTGCCCAGACTGTCTTGAACTCTTTGTTTGGTGCATTATAGTTGTATGTAATGATAGAACTTGTTGTTACATATTCATACATGCACACTATATATATAAAACAATATGATTTGGCCAACATCACTCTGTATGTTCTCAGAAATCTTTTAGGTCTGTTGCGTGTGTGTGTGTGTGTGTGTGTGTGTGTGAGCGCGCGCGCGTGCGCGCGCTGGGAATTGAATCCAGGTTGCTTAACCACTGAGCCACATCCCCAGTGCTTTTATTTATAGATAAGGTCTTACTAAGTTGCTTAGGGCCTTGCTACATTGCTGAGGTTGGTTTTGAACTTGCAATCCTCCTGCCTCAGCCTCCCGAGCTGCTGGGATTACAGGTGTGCCTGGCTTGTGCCCATTTTTGAATATATTTTTTCTATTAGGCTTTTGGAATTCCTTACATATTCAGGATGTCAGCTCCTTGTCCGATGAATAGTTTGCAAATATTTTATTTCATTCTGTAGGTTGACTGTTCACTCTATTGGTTATTTCTTTTGCTGTGCAGAAATTTCTTTATTTGACGTAATCCCATTTGTCTATTTTTGCTTTTGTGTTTTTGCTTTTGAAGTCATGCCCAGAAAGTCCTTCCACATTCCAATATCCTGAAGCATTTCCTGTATGTTCTCTTCTAGTAGTAATATGTGAGGACTTGGGCTTTTGATTGAGTCTTGAATCCATTTTGTATTGAGTTTTATAACTGMGATAAGGATCTAATTCTATTCTTCTCTGTGGATATCTAGTTTTTTAGCACCATTTATTGAAAAGAATGTCCTTCCTCCAATGCAYATTCTTGGCTCCTTTGTTAAAAATCAGTAGTCTTTAGATATGTGGGTTTACTTCTAGGCTCTATTCCCCTGGTCTGTGTGTATGTAGCCAGTACCATGCCATTCTGATTACTACAGCTTTGTAGTTATATTTTGARGTCCATGGTGTAATGCTT